GGAAATGGGGAGTTGGTGCTAATGGGTATGGGGACTATGAAAACATTCTAGAGTCAGGTGGTAGTGATGGCTGAATAACTCTGAATATATTAAAAGCCACTAAATTTTAGACTTTAAAAGGATTAATTTTATATTATCTTATGTTTTCTGTTGTGTTACGTTTCTTCCATAAAACTGTTATTTAAAAAGAGAAAGAGAAAAAAAGAATGATGTGAGCCTGTCACATGAAGGAAAACAACTAACAGTACTTGCTAATGAAAAAAACCTCAAACTTTCAATTAAAAATTAGTATTTTGGAAAACTTGTATCCACCACCAGTAGATTGACAGCTCCTCAAATCTTGAAAGACTTTTCCTATGATGATGGTGGTGATGTTAATAACTATGGATTTTTTTTCAATTATCATATGGTTTCACTCATATGTGGAATATAAGAAACAGCACAGAGGATCAGAGGGGAAGGGAGGGAAAATGGAATGGGAAGTCATCAGAGAGGGAGACAAACCATGTGAGACTCTTAACTATTGGAAACAAACTGAGGGTTGCTGGAGGGGAGACAGGTAGGGGGGATGGGGTAATAGGGTGATGGGTATTAAGGAGAGCACATGATGTGATGAGCACTGAGTGTTAAACAAAATGATGAATATGAATTATTGAACACTACATCTGAAACTAATGATGTACTACTATATGTTGGCTAATTGAATTTAAATTAAAAAACAATGACTGGATTTTTTTCTATTGGATGATGAAATATGTCAATATTTTGAAGATTGGAATAATTCTGTGCCCCAATGCATGATGTTACCAGGTCATTCATGCCTGAGTGAAAGATCCATGCCAAGTCAGATAATGGATTCAATAAACGTCTTGAACTCAGTTAGTTCAAGACGTTTATATGATTTTAGATTCCACATCTCTACTAATCTTTAAGAAACTACTTCTTGTAACATTTTGGTGTAGCACCAAAGAATATCCAAAATAATTTCCTGTGAAGACTGTTAAAATACTTCTCCTTTTTCCAGTTGCGTATCTGTGTTAAGCTGGATTTTCTTCATATGCTTCAACAAAAACAACATAATGCAGTGGATTGAATCTAGAAGCACATATGAGAATCCAGGTATCATCTATTTAGCCTAAAGACATTTGCCAAAATGTAAAACAATGATATATTTCTCACTGAACTTTTAAAGTATGCTTTAAAAATTTTTAATAAAAAAATGAGTTTATTGAATTTATTTTTAAGTGAATTAATAATTAAATATTTTTTAAAAACTTGATATCTACACTATATTCCAGACCTATCAAATCAAATCCTTTGGAGGTGGGACCTAAACATTATTTTTATAAACTTCCCCAGATGATTCCAATGTATAGACAAGTTTAGAATTAGTGCTCTAGAGCAATGTTCTCAAGTTTTGGTGTTTATCAGCATCACCTGGGGAACTTGGTAAGACTAGGAGTTGTAGGCTTCATGCTATTTCAGTAAGCCTGGACCACTGTATTTTTTATTAGTTCTCCAGGTGAGCTGATAACACACCAAGAGTGAAGAACCACTATCATACAGGTCAAGAGCATTAGGCCCCTTTCTTAAATCTATTTGGATCCTGGACCTGTTATTTGACGTAATGTCTTCTTTCCAGAAGATGTGGGTTCACTCTTCCTTTTCATGGGTTTCAGTAAGCAAAGTATCAAGAGGAAATGCCCTGCTTTTACTGAAAGGACTCTTACTGCAAGTGGTGTAATCAAGCAGAAATGCCCCCCAGCTCCTGCGGGGACTGCTGCCTGTCCTGTCTCCCTGAGGAGCCTCCCTTCCAGTCTGTGCTGCACAGTCATGGAGGGTCTGTCGCTGAGTCTAGGGGCAAGAGCTACTAAAGTGAACTCAGAGGATGGTGCTCTGATGGTTAGGTGACAAATGAATCTACCACACCTGTCTCCAGAATACAAAGTTCTCTATTGGGTTGGTTTTATCTTCAGAATTTGGATGACTGCCACTCAGGATTTCTCCTGGTTTGTCAAACCCATGAGACCTTTGCTCATCCAAATATTAGTAGGTCAGGGATGGGAGTCCGTTATCAGCTAGATTTCAGGTGTCAGGGAGAGGCTGGGCCTGGCTGCAGATGGCTGTGACCTTGATGATGTTATACTGGCATAGCAATGGAGAGCTATCGCCTGAGGGACAGCAAGTTTACAGAGGGTAACAAGCATAAAGACCCTCCGGGCCCCATGTTGATTAACTTTCTCTCCTTCCACGGATTTGTCAAAAACTGAGCAGAGCTTGTATTCCTGCATAAATTTAGGTTGCTGAGAGAGAGAAAGGACATCTAGAAACCAGCTAAGTGTTTAGCAGAATGGTTTCAGGTGCTCCACTCCCTTCCCAGACAGATTTGTGTTCCTAAGGCTAGAAGTGTAGGAAGCTTATGGACAGAAATATTGTCTACTATACAAAGACATCTGTATTATATAGGAGAGGACAGACTTCTCTGTCAGTCCTCAACCTCTTCAACCTGCCCCTAGAAGAACAGAACAGGCACTTAGTCTTCCTGTTTGAGCTTTTTGACAGAATCTAGGTGAAAATATTCAGTGTCACTAAATTTTGCTTGAGTATCTCAGTGTTTAACACTGATGGACCCTAAAGATACAACAATTAAAGAAGGACAAATATTCACATAGCAACTCACTTGGATAGAGAAATTGCATTTAGGCTATTCATTAACCTGGTATTTCACCCAAGGCACTAACTTCTGGTTATCTGGGGGAAAAAATAACATTAAATCACCGTTAAAGCTTCTTCCAGTAAGATAGCATAGACTAGGTAAGAATATTTGACTGGCCTAAGTGTTGTCTATATTACCTGGGATCTTAAGGAATAATGAAGACCAGACACCAGTAATGCGCTGTGCCTCTTATAGCAACACACCATATTGTGCTTATTTATAGAGGTAAAGGGATAATATTTGTAAAAATGTCATGTGATTTTTCTTTTCAGTCTATCCCCTATAGGACTTTAACCCCAGTTTACACTAGGAATCCATTAATCTATGAGGATATTAGTTAGAATTTCTTTCAAAAGTAGTATAAAACAGAATAAGCTGTTTCTGTCATTCAGAACTAGGATTATGCAGAAGAAAAACAGAGTCATAGACTATTATCTTGAAGGAAGATTTCCCAGATTCTGTCATCGTTGCCTTTTATTTATTTTTTTTTAAATTATTTATTTATTTAACAGAGATCACAAGTAGGCAAAGAGGCAGGCAGAGAGAGGAGGAAGCAGGCTTGCTGCTGAGCAGAGAGCCCGATGCGGGACTCAATCCCAGGACCCCTGGGATCACGACCTGAGCCAAAGGCAGAGGCTTTAACCCAACTGAGCCACCCAGGCACCCCATCGTTGCCTTTTATTTATAAAAGTTTAATCCCCAAGGCTCCCAACTTCTAGCTCTTTCCTGTGAGGTAGGGAAAGCACCACTTCTGACTAGGAGAACCTGGTATGCTCTATAGGAGTGTTTCTCTCCTGGAGGGATTTTTGCCTCTAGAGGAAATCTGAGTAGTATCTGCACACATTTTGGTTGTCATAACTAAGAGGGTCGTGCTACCAGCATGTAGTGCATAGAGACCGGGGATGCTGTTCAACATCCTGCAATATTCTGGCAGCCCCTGCCACACAGACTTATCTGGCCCAAAAGAGTAACAGTGTTGAGACAGGCTGAGATCCTGCTCTATGACAACGATGCACAAAGTGTGGTCCTCAGACCAGCATTATTGCCATCACCTAGGAACTTGGTAAAAAAGCAAATCCTCAGGCCCCCTACCTAAGAACTACTGAACTAGAAATTCTGGGAAAGGAGACCAACAGTCTGTGTGTGTTTTTTTTTTTTTTAATATTTTATTTATTTACTTGACAGACAGAGATCACAAGTAGGCAGAGGCAGGCAGAGAGAGAGAGATAGGGAAGCAGGCTCTCCACTGAGCAAAGAGCACGATGCGGGGGTTCAATCCCAGAACCCTGGGATCATGACCTGAGCCGAAGGCAGAGGCCTTAACCTCTGAGCCACTGAGCCACCCAGGCGCCCCAGCAATCTGTGTTTTAACAAGCCCTCCAGGTGATGCCCACACTAAGGCTTGTGCTCTATGGAAGTCAGAGGCTATGATACAGGACCACTGATACTTTCCAGTTCTGGGTTATGGTGAGAGGAGAAGCAAGAGATAGAGGAAAGAAGCCTTGTTGCCAGCTTGCTCTTTCCTCCTTGGCAGGTTTGAACTGAGAGATGTGGTGGTGGGATGGAAAGGGAAGGAAACATCAAGCAGGGAGATCATGCTCTCCAACCTCCTTGGGCTATGGAAGTCCTGGTCCACATGGGTGCTGCTGGTCCCCTGGCTTTTGCAGATGCAAAGAGTGGACTCAGGATCTTGATTCTAGGAGGAATGCAGCCTCTTGTACAACTGGCCTGAAATCTGGCTGTGATTCCTTATGGTCTTGGCTTGGAAGTCTCGATAGCCCTTGATGCAATGACAACTCACCTCATGGTGACCCACTCTCCCAAGCTTCCTGGAAGCCTGTCAGCTAACCCCAGGGCCAGTTTATACCATGCCGAAATTTGCAGCAGCTTTAGAAAGTAAAGCTCCACAGATCTCCCCTTTGCCTGTCCAGACAGTTGATGCATCTCCAACACTTAAATGGCTCCCTGTGCTCTCACTATGGCTCAAAAGGTTTGCAGCACCCAGAGGACTGGGAGAACAACATGGACTCAAGAAGAGTAGCATATCAGGTACCAAAGGTGGTAGTCAGGTGGTGGGTAAAGAATAATAAGGTGACAAGGAGGCACCAGACCAGGCAGTTGCTGTCATGAGTCTCAAAGAAGCAGGGCTTTCCCCTGACTATAGAAAAGCCAGTGGTATGGTATGGAATAAGAACTGGAGGGTAAAAGGAAAATACCTTTTTTTTAAAAAATACATTGAAAACACAGAGTATATGAACTGCATTAATGTTTACATGTTTACATTTTATTCGATTTCTTCAAAAGATCACTTTTGCTTCAAATTTACATTTGTGCGGTCAAGTATTCTGAGCATCTCATTTTTTCAGCATTTTATTTGGTGGTCAAACAGCCTTTATTGTAGCAGTATGATAAAGGGTATGCACTAAGTAGGTCTATTTTGTAATGAGCATCAGAAAAAGGTTAGCTAACCTATGCCAAAAGAGGAACGTACTGGCAAATTAGGAAGAGGATGGTAGGCCCAAAGCAGGGATTGGTTGAGTGGAGAAGCCAGGGTAGTTTCAGCAATGGAGTTATCAGGATGGGTAGGTTACTCACAGCCCCACTGCTGAAGTGATTCATCTCAATCAATTTCATATATTATGTCACAACACTCAAGATTCAATATCCTGGAAAAGAAAGTCTGATTAGTCTACTGTACATCACATGCCCACCCTGGCAGGGAAGGACAGTTGCAGGTTGGAAGAAAGGGCAGTGTGATTATCAGTCCCACAAAGTCTCTAATGAAGGGAACAAGGGTGATTCTCCAAAAAGACCTCTGGATCCTACTACCAACATAAGGATCAGGAAAGCTGGGCATACAGACACCAATGGGCAGGCACAGAGACTCTGCAACCTTCTCACCTGTGGTGACTGGGCCATGCAGTCCCTCCCTTTGGCAACCTGAGAAATGGTACCAGGAAAAGTGCCTAGGAATGACCATACATGGCAGCACAAGAGAGAGCAGTAGGAAGCATATTTCAGAAAAGGCAAGAAGTGGAATATGTTGGGACCTTGGTTTACAATGAGGGAAGGATCCAGACAGCACACTGGAAACATCTGTAAGGAAGGGAGGCCCAGGGAGTTGGGTTAAGGCTGTTAAAGGAGTGAGCTAGTCAGGTCACTTGGAAATGGGAGGTGATGAATAGAGCTATACCAGGTAAAAGAGAAAACCTGGCTATCAAGCAAAGGCAGTGAGGAAGTGTTCAGGTTCCTGGGAGATGGTACATTCTGACTTCTTTATCTCTAGCTCAGTTAGAAAGACCCAGAAGGATTGACTGAGATGCTGCAAATTTACCCTCTTGAATATCATACCTAGACGAGATATGTTTGTGAAGTGGATTTCCAGGCCAGGTTTAAACTCCTCAAACACAATGATCTGTGAAGAGAAAGGAAGTGGGGTGGCCATGAGATTCAAGTTCTGACTCGTTGCAAGGCAAAGGCCAAATGAAGTGGACTGGGATGAGGGAGGTGTAGGGGGGACCTTACCTCATTTGATCCAGGACGAAGCCAGGGTCCTGGAAGGTAAAAGGTCTCCTGGGGACCTATATTCCAGTAGCGTCCCAGATTCTTTCCATTGATGAATATTACACCTTTTGTCCAGCCCTGAAAAAGATTGGAATGAAGGATTCAAGACCTGAGTTCTAGATGTAATGACACAAGGGTGAAGACACACACACCCCATAAACACATCTGATCACAGTCATGGATACACATAGATGGAGTGGATTACCACACATGACCTTAAATGGAAGGTTACCTGGAGAGGTCTATGTTATTGCCCCTGGCCTGGGGTTGGCTCAACACCTAGGCCTCAAGAAGGAAGGTACTGTTTTCTAACTCATCTGTCCCAAGTCAGGGAAGGGTCCTTTCATTGACCATCAGGCATTTACCAAAACATGCTGGGCCCCAAACAAAGTCTGAATTGTAGAATTTTGTGGTGGCTGTACATATGCATTAAAATCTCAACATCCCCACCACAGATTGGATGTGTGTTCTAAGGGGTTGAGGATCTCAATGTCTTGGATTATGTCTGGGGACAAGTGAACCACACTCACTAAATTCTTCATGTAGTAGATCCTACAGCTGTCTGCACTAGAACACACTACTTATGTCTCTGTTGCATTTGTTAAGCATCTACTCCTCATCCTTGTCAACACCAGGGAAGGGACAGCCTCCAGAATGCTGTGGAGTGGCTGATGTCCCAGGAAGCCTACATTTCCTTTCACAGGATAGGGCCCATGTACCAAGGAGCTTTTTCTCAAAGATCCTTTTCAGATGGGGGCAAGGGGAATAGGCAGGGGAGAAATATCACTAACCTCCATTTTTATGAAGGTGTCTCTGGGGTCATTACCTATTCTCAGGATACCAAGGAAGAAGGCAGGGCCCCGATGTTTGAATACAGCTGGTTTCCAGATGTTAGGAAGGTCCCTAAGAGGAAATCAAACACCAATGGAAGGGTCATGCCCTTCTTTGTGTGTCAGCTGTGATTTTTGAGGTAAGTCCCCTTTGTGCCCAAGCCTGGCATTCCTCTTATAGCATAGGCACATGCCTCTAAGGGGATATGATGCAGAAAAAACAAACAAACAAAAGATCAGCAGACCAGGAGTTGCATGAAGGAGGGGATGTTCATCACTCTGCCCCAGACAACTATGAAACTTGGGGTCATTTCCTTCAACACTGTGGGTCTCATCTCTCCTATCTGAAAACAAAGGAGGTTAATCTGCACGGTCTCTGAGCTTCTTTCCATCTCTAAATCAGAACCATCTTTGATCAATCACATTGAGTTGATGGTCTGGCACCCACCTTTGTATAAATTTAGTTTTCATATCCAAGCTATGGATTTTAAAATTTCTTAAAGGAGATTTGTTCAGGTAGATATCCCCAATTAAACCTACAAAAGAGGGAATAAAAGGAACATGAAGAAGGCAAGCAGGGATGTGAACACAGATGTAAACAGGTTGTGGCCAGGTCTCCCCCCGAAGGAAGATGTTTTCCTGCCTTTATCAAATGGAAGGTTTCTGCAAAATCTTACATAAGTTCTTCCTTCTGTTATACATGTACACTTCTTAGAGCATGCCTCTATGTCCAACATACAGCAGAGATACTGCTGTCCACTAAATCATACACCTGGCCATGACTGTCCAGCTTACAATAAGAGCAACGGAATTTGATGCCTCAAGGTCTCAAACTTCTCCACCCTTGGAAGGAAGGAGGCCTACCTTTTCTCTCCTTATTGATGTCCTGACCATAGGCAAGGCGGCCTTGATTCTCCACCAGGATCCTCAGTGTTGGGTTATCGTTGTAGACCTGTCCAAGATAGACGAGCCACAGTGGGTACCACTCAGAGAACTTTTCTGTAGACCTCTTAAGTCTTCTCTGAAACTCAGATGAGATTATAAGCAGGGTGACTGACAGACAGCAGGCCTCAAAAGCCTGCAGACCTCCAGCTCTGGGTCAAGTAAACCCTTAGGCTCTTGCCCTTCCTACTTACTCTACCCTCACCCTCACCCCCATACTAGGTCTTTCAGAAAACAGTCACTCGAACATTTCACTAGAGATTAGTGAAGCAGGTGACAAACCTAGAGCTTCTGAGCAGCAAATATCCAACATGTTGAAGTTCTGCTCAGCCAAAGCATAGACACTTGTACTTTAGAAACACATACAGCTCTCCTGCACCCCTGCTGGGCTCTTATGCTGGGAACATTTCAAAGAACCACGGAGGAGATAATAAGCTATCACAAGGTCAGTCCACGCTTACAATTAAGCCAGGGCACTGAAGTATTAGTTCATCAACACTAGATTATATACCATTTTCCTGGGAATAGTCAGCTGATCAGTGGAACGATCGAAGATGCCTAAAAAGTTCTCATCCAAAAACACCTGCCAAAGAAAGAGGAGAGCACCATTAGGTCCTCATAAGGAAAAGGATAAAATGGTCCTTAGGAAAGCAAAGAAAAGGCAAGTTCTAGGAGAAGGATTAACTCTGTCTCATAGAATATTACAAGCAGACTATGAGTTGACAAAAATACAACATATTCAAAGCAGTACAGTTGTGAGATGTGTGAGGCAAAGTCTGGAGAAGGATGTTCTAATACCAAATCTGGGCCTTGCTGTACTATAGGACAAGGAGGGAAAGAATAAAATTTTTAAAAGACCTGCAGGGAATGAGGGGAAAAGGAAGGTAGAGAATGAGTCTTGTGATTGAATGGATCTTGTGAAATGATGATCAAAGGGGAAGATGGGACTCCAGGCACAGGAGGCATCTGCCTGCCTTGCCTGCCTGGGTTCACTCTCATAATGGGTCCAGTCTTCCAGGTTTCCCCCGACCCTATCTGAAGAGGCTGCTGCCACCACTGTTTCTCACTTTAAGAATGACCTGGACATAAATCCTTTTCTTTTCTGTTATCTATTATACTGCTTCAGGCTCAGATAAGTCACCCAGAAGAATCTGCCCTAGCCATGCAGGACCACAGAAAGATAAAATTTGCCCCTTAGATTATTTGAGTCAGGTCATAATTTTCAAATGAAGTTTGACTAGGAAACTATAAAAATTAAAATCCACAGATATTAAAAACACAAATATTAATACTATATGAAATGCAGAATTTATATTTTAAGCTATTTAGAGTCTAATCACAAGGTTTATATACACTATAACCATTTGTTAAACACCTACTGAATGGCTGGAGCAAGGTGTCACCAAGCTTAACACCCAACTCTAGCCACTGAGGAACTCAGAGAGTGACACAAATAAATTTTTAGGATACTCCACAATAGCTAACATGGAACTGTAGGAAGAATGCCACGGAAGCACAGGGAAGAAAGTGACAAGTCCTGATCCACAGCCAAGTCCAGGCTATTTGGTGAAAATGATGACAGGGGACTGGGAAAAATTAATGGAAGACTGTAGACAGGGGAAAAGGCATGCTGAGAATTTTACCTTGGGAAGGAAACTGGTGCCACTGTGAGGGAGGGATTTGACATGGAGGAGGGGAAAGGTGAGCTATCTGAAAAAGGAAGATTGGTTATGAGATTTTAATAGTAGTAGAGGCAAGATAGAAAGAAACTTCTAAAGCCATGGTGGCATAGAGTTCGAGAGAAGACCCACTGAGTCATATTGCAGCAAGCATGTCCCAGCTGAGAATAAGGTATGGAGAGAGGATGAGGGGAACAGCATTTTCAGGTGGGGAGGCTGCAAGTCCATGATTGATGTGAGGAGTACAGGATGAGGGTTATTTAGGAGGGTGATGAATTTGGTTTTGAACATGATGAGTGTGAGGAGCCAGCAGAACACATATCTAAGCAAAGAAAAATGTTCAGCAAACAAGGAATCTGGGTCTGCAGCTCAGGATAAGGAGGGGAGGGTTGGAGTCACCATCGGGAGTGCCTAAACTTTGGGAGATGACACAGGCAGCACAGAGAGGGCTCTTTGCAGGAGAATTTCACCAAGACCTGAGGCAACTCTGCTAGCTCTTAACTTGGGAGTGAGATGACGAAGTCTTTACCCTCGGCTCTGCTGTTTTCTAGTCAAATATCCTCTGAAAGACATTTAACTTCTCTGAGGTATTCTCATTTGTCACAAATATCTTAGACGGGTGTTTTGAGAATTAAATGAGAGCAGCACATTGTAATGTGCTGTGTAAATGTAGGGATTGCTGTGCAGTTAAGTACAGGGACTTCTGAAGCTCCTCTGGAGTCTCCTTTAAAGAACTCCATCAATTCCCATAAGGATTCAATGAATATGCCCCCTCCCTGGGAACTAACACAAACCTCAGACCTATGACAACAGTAGCTCGCATATCAAACATTTCACTGAAGAGACAAAGGTTAAGAAACAGTGATGAATTTTTGAAGGTGAAAAAGATTTGACTATCATTTAGATATTCACCTCAGCAACACAACTGGGTTTTACTAGCAGAGAAGCGCCACTGGGACCCATCCACTGTCCCTTACCTGACCTCGGTCTTGAACATGATTCTTTGTGGTAAGGAGGCCACTGGTGGTGATCACAGTCTCATAAAGTATGTATCCATAAGACTGACCATTCCCCTGGTTCACAGATAGCTCCTCCATGCAGATCGGCTTGACAGAGCTGATGGGCTGTGACAGAAACAGGAACAAAAACCAGGCTGAATGTTCAGGCTTGGAGAGATAAATTTCAGAAACCAATACCCAAAGCCCACTTCTCCAATGGAACTGCCCCCAAAAGTCTTGAGGGCAAATGTATAAAAAAGGAATGTATAATGATAATCATGCTTAAGTGTCACATATTAATGTCCTTTTTAAAAACTAAAAGTTTTCCAAACCAACTTTATATTTCTCTACATGTGCTAGCCAGTAATGTATTCTTATTTTTCAGATGGAAAAGCTGAAATCAAGGAAAGGGAATGATCTGTTATCTTGCTCATCAATTTATGATAAAGCCTGGACTAGACTCCTGATTTCATGACTTCCATGCCAGGTGTGCCAGACTCTATCATGGGTCGTCTCTTCTTTTTCCTTCATATAGTAAAAGAAATCATCCTAACCCACAGTCTAACTGTGACTATTCATGAATCTGCCTATCTAACAGTGACCTAAAGCACTCGATGTCTGTTAATCCCCATGTCTGTTAGACTTCTCCTTCTGAAGGTCCCTAAATGATTCCAATGTAGTATCTGCCAAACTATATTTACCACATTTCCCCACCCTACTCTTTTTCCTTTCCAGAGCAACACTTACCATCCGGTCAAAAAGGTAAAAAGTATGTACGATGTCTCTTCCTCTTCCTCAATATCCCCAATCAACCAGGCATCACCTCCTTTAGAGTCTGACTCTAAATCTCTGTTTCACTAATCCTTCTTCACCTTCATTATCTAAGCTCAACTTCAGTAGCTTTTTATTCATTTTCAGTGTTCTAGCATGGTCCCACTCTACTCCATCCCCCATTCAACTACCAAAGGAATCCTTCTGATGCAAAATTGGTCATCTGATTCCCATGTCTTAAAATAGCTTCCATAACTTTCAGGGAAATGTTCAAATTTCTTAGCATAAAAACATGACCTGGGGTGCCTAGATGGCTCAGTCAGTTAAGTATCTGCCTTTGGTTCAGGTCATGGTCCCAAGGTCCTGGGATGGAGCCCTCCATTGGGCTCCCAGCTCAGCAGGAAGCCTGCTTCTCCCTCTGCCCCTTCCCCCACTCATGCTTGCCCTCCTCCCTTCTCTCTCTCTCTCTCAAATAAATAAGTAAAATCTCTAAACACACACACACAGAGACACATAGACACACATACACACACACACACACACACACAAACACACACACACAGCTTTTTAGACTGCCTTGGAGAAATACATGATCCTAGTCTGTGGAGCCACATGGCCTGAAACATTCTGGAGGACAAAGAAGATATCAAAAGCTACCAGACTCATGTCAAGAGGACAAGAGGGCACAGGGACCAACTTAAAGGAGATGGGACAATTTGAATATCAAAAGGAATGACTGCAACAGGATCAAAACATGTTAAATGTGTGTGTGTGTGTGTGTGTGTGTGTGTGTGTGTGTGTGTGTGTTTTTAAAGTATAAGTTTTCAGAAGGATCTTGGGGAGATGGTGTCAGAAAGATTCTGACCAGGGTGCCTGGGTGGCTCAGTGGGTTAAAGCCTCTGCCTTCAGCTCAGGTCATGATCTCAGAGTCCTGGGATCGAGCCCCATATCGGGCTCTCTGCTCCGCGGGGAGCCTGCTTTCTCCTCTCTCTCTGCCTGCTTGTGATCTCTGTCAAATAAATAAATAAAATCTAAAAAAAAAAAAGAAAGAAAGATTCTGACCTCACCTCCTTCCACAGACATATCAAGGCTATAGCTGCACATTGTGCACCTCACTCTTAAAATGATATGAAGACCGGCAAAACTGACATTCCACAGCTAGAGACATAAAAAGAAGGCCACACTGAGAGAGGTGGAAGGGGCAAGAGGCAATGGAATCAAATCCCTGGCATAACACCTCACAAGCAAGAAGAGGATTCCAGGCATGGAGGTCATCCCTGAGGAGTGGAGGGGATCAAGCCCTGTATCAGACACCCTTGGTCCTAGAGACCTATACCAAGAAGAAGTCTGGCTTTGAAAATCAGCAGGACCTAATTTCAGGAAAATCAAAGGTCAACAGGAAACCAGGTGTCTACCCATGTGGAGCCAGAATGTTGGTATCAATTGGTCCAAGACAGCACAGAGGCAGCAGTTTGAAAAGCACCTGGGTTATATATAAAGATTTACTGTCTGATTTTAGAACATATGCCTGGGGGGTAAGGATCTGTAGAAGTTTCTCCTAGAATGCAAGTGCAGGTAGAAGCCATTTTTCTTGCCCTCCTATAGCCTAGAGAGTCCTACTCTTGTGGAGCCATTTCTAACATTATCCATCGACCTTGCTAGCACAGCTTGACCCACCATGGCATTCTCCTACAGACCAGATCTAGCAGGCACCCTTCCCACTACAGCCATAGTCCAGAGACCAGAGTCCCCTCAGAGTGACAGTTGCTCCTCCACACCTGCTAGGCAGCCCTGGCCTATACCAGTGCCCCTCCAAAGCAACTCCTTGCCTGGGGAGGAGAGAGCCAGTCTTGCAACTAATCTATGACAAAAGAGTCAAAAATATACAATGGGGAGGAGTCTCTTCAATAAATAGTGCTGAGCTGGAGCACCCGGGTGGCTCAGTTGGTTAAGCAGCTGCCTTCGGCTCGGGTCATGATCCCAGTGTCCTGGGATCGAGTCCCACATCGGGCTCCTTGCTCGGCGGGGAGCCTGCTTCTCCCTCTGCCTCTGCCTGCCATTCTGTCTGCCTGTGCTCACTCTCTCTCCCTCTCTCTCTGACAAATAAATAAAGTCTTTAAAATAAATAAATAAATAAATAAATAAATAGTGCTGAGGAAACCAGACAGCTACATGGAAAAGAATGAAACTCGACCACTCTTACATCATACATGAAAATAAACTCAAATTGTATTGATTAAATACCTAAATGTAAAACATGAAACTATAACACTCCTAAAAGAAAACATAGGCTATAAACTCTTGGACATCAGCCTTAGCAATATTTCTCTGGATCTGTCTCCCCAGGCAAGGGAAGCAAAAGGAAAAATAAACAATGGGAACTATATCAAACTAAAAAGCTTCTATATAGAAAAGGAAACCCTTAACAAAATGAGAAAACAAGCTACTGATTGGGAGAAGATATTTGCAAATGATAAATCTGATGAGGGGTTAATATCCAAAAATATAAAGAACTTGTGCAATCATTATCAAAACCAAATAATTCAATCTAAAAATGGGTAGAAGATCTAAATGGACATTTTTCACAAAGCAGAAATACAGATGGCCAATACACACATGAAAAGATGTTAAATGTCTTTAATCACCAGGGAAGTATAAATGAAAACCACCCTGAGGTGTCACCTCACAGCAGTCAGAATGGCTAATACCAAAAAGATAAGAAATATTAAGTGTTGGTGAGCATGTGGTGAAAAAGGAACCCTCATGAACTGTTAGTAGGAATGTGATTTGGTGCAGCCAGTGTGGAAAACAGTATGGAGGTTCCTCAAAAAATTAAAAATAGAAATACCATATGACCCAGTAATTCCACCACTGGATATTTACCTGAAGGAAATAAAAATACTACCTTGAAAAGATATATGTGCCCCAAGTTTACTGTAACGTTATTTATAATAGTTAACATATAAGTTAACTATAAGTTATAAGTTAACACTACATAAGTGTTCACTGATAGATGAATGACTAAAGAAGATGGGATATATCATATGGTTTCACTTATTTGTGGAGCATAAGAAATAACATGGAGGACATGGAGAGATGGAGAGGAGAAGAGAGTTGAGGGAAATTGGAGGGGGAGAAAAACCACGAGAGACTATGGACTCTGAAAAACAATCTGAGGGTTTTGAAGGGGCAGGGGAGTGGAAGGTTGGGTGAGCCTGGTGGTGGATATTATGGAGGACACATTGCATGGAGCACTGGGTGTGGTGCATAAACAATGAATTCTGGTACACTGAAAAGAAATTTAAAAAATAAATTCTGGTACACTGAAAAATTTAAAAAAATTAAAAATAAAAAAATAAAAAAGAAGATGGGATATATATATACATATACATATACATATACATATACATAAAATGTGGGGTATGTGTGTATATTGGAATATTACTCAGCCATAAAAAGGATAAAGTCTTGTCATTCACAACTACATGGAAGGACCTAGAGAGTATTATATTAAGGGAAATAAGTCAGACAGAGAAACAAATATCATGTGATTTCATTCATATATGGAATCTAAAAACAAAGTAAACAAACAAACAGAGACAGACTCATAAATACAGAGAACAAATTGGCAATTGTCAGATGGCACGGGGCCAGAGGTGGTGAGGAAAATAGATGAAAGTCATGAAGAGGTACAGAATTCCAAGTATAAAATAAATAAGTCATCGGGATAAAAAGTACAGCCTGGAGACTATACTCAGAAATACTGTAATAACTTTGTATGGTGACAGACACAGCTTACTGTGCTGAGCATTTTGTAATGTATATAATTTTCAAATCAGTATCTTGTACACCTGAAACTTATATAATATTGTATGTCAAGTGTAACTGAAAACAAAATTTTTTAAATCATGAATTTATAATCAAATAAAGACAACAGCAGCAAAAGAACTCACTGGCCACCTTTGGAGGATATCCAGGAATAAATTCATTATCTGATAAAAGAAAATACTTGAAAATTTGTCCTAACTTTTCTTTATAAATTGTACATTAAGGTGACAAGACAATAGTAAAGGAAAGCTCTTCTACATAGAAGAATTCAAGTGTAAAATAAACGAAGAAGGAATTACAGAATAAGAATGATACTATTTTGAAAGCCTTAATGAAATATTGGATATAAGCAATTGGTATGGGTATTGGATATAGGTAATAATTGCTAAAACCATTAGGTAAAAGGCTGATGGGAAAATGAATAATGGATAGACTGAGTTAGAGGCTCCTGAACCCACTGATCAATTATGAAAACAGAAATGACCAGCCACTATGTATCTGAGATATAATGCATAAAAAATATAACA